CCACATGTCCTCCTCCTAAATTTATATATCTTATTTTCTCGTTTCAGTATCAATAAATACTCCATTAGTGTCGTGGTTAGATGATTTTTTTTTTCATAGTTGTAAAATTGCAACATCTAATGCAATTAGATCTTTTGCTATAACAACGGACAATGTTTGGTTTACAACTCTCCTCTCTAACTTGTTATAGATGTAGGGTAACTCTTGTAGCATGAACTAGTCTAACTCGAGACTATAAGTAAGTACCTTATCTAAGTGGTGCTTTCCGTCATTCATCCTCAACTAGTCTGCGTACGCTCTCATTATATCTTAACGTCTCATTTTTTATACAACCATCTCTAGTTAATCCCTAACTAATCACACAGTAATTTATTATGCAATTAATTTACACATCAAAGTCAACACCAACTTGTAAAATTATTTTTGCCAAGGGCTAAAACATTAATCTTCCGACTTTCTTCAACATCCCTTATTTTGTAATTTATATTTTGCTCAAGCGTTCGAGATCATTCTATGTAATGATAAATAAGAGACATATTTCATGATTTCAAGTATTTTTTTGGGGAGTCTCCCATGCGTTACATTTGACTTAAACAATTTTATATGGCTTGTCCTTATTACAAAGAGTCACAATTGGCGTGACATGCAACGCCATGCCCACCCCATCATCCTACCTATTTCTCCAACCAACATTTCTTCACCATTGACACCATCTCTTTTGGCTTTTATTCAAACCCAAATAGAACCGCTTATTTATTTACTTGCTTGCCTCTTCGATCGAAATAATAATAATAATAAATAAATAAATAAATAAAGAAGATGCCCTGATCAATCTTGGCTCTAAACTTTCCTCAAAAGAAATATTTGCATAATTTTTTTTTTATCCGACAATTATTCAAATAGGAATTTAAGAAAACAATGAAAAAGTCAAATTTGAATTGTCCCACCATTTTGTTTGTTCTTATAGTTAAACAAATTTATTACTTTCGTAAAATAATAGTTGATTTGATTGTGAATGGTCTTAATTTTTTAAGTCGGTAAAACGAGTCTTTGTTCTAAATAGTAATTGAAAGTTATGCTATTTTTTAATCCAATCCCGAATTCGCCCCAAAGTGGGCTACCCACGCACAGCTTGCTGTCCAAAATTCCGACCGTGAGTGGGTAGCTCACTTTGGATAATTTTTCCAGCCAATTCCGATGGGATCACGGCCATTGGTTGGGTGAGCTTTGAAGAGGGGAATTTAGGGCTTCAATATAGTATATTGGTCAGTGGCAAAAGGTGGCCGGAGGACGGAGTTATGG